TGTGTTTAGCCCTGTGCTGGTTCGAAAGGCGTGGGTGACGCTGGTTCGACGGCAGGGCGTACAAGAAACATTTAGTAGTGCGGCACTGTTCGGCCCCGACAAAAATGGACCATCGGCGACAGTTACCCTGCCGAAAATGTCGGGACTGAAGACATTGTGGCAGCTGTCGGTGTTTCTCCAACTTCAACGGTCTACCCAACGGCGGTGTAGCAGCGAAGGAGGAGTTCCCGAAGTTGCGGAGTTTTAAATGCGATAGGTGTTGGTGCAACCCTACGGTTTGCACTCGGCTTGTCCGTGTGCGTGAATGTGTGTGTGTATGGAATGGTATGAGGGCATGGGATACTATATATTTCATGCTTATAATTGTGTGTGAATGTTGAGTCATGATGTCGAGTGTGTGTGTCGAGTCAATAGCGAGTTATCGCTAGACGCGTGTTACGCGGTCGTTTGTGTCTCGCGCGCGGTTTCTATTTTGTCGTGCGCGGTTTCTATTTTGTCCTGTGTCGAACGTTCGGCGTGTCGCAGGTGTGTGCAGCAGACCCATCAAGAACTCAAGGATGCGTTTGTGATGAAGAGCCCGAGCCTTGGTGTCAAGCCTCAAGTGATTTCGAAGCTTGCCAAAAGGGTACACCTCAAGATATTGAAGATAGTTACATTACTTTGTGTAGTGTAACATTTCACTTGGTGTAGGCCCTAGTGAAGGGTAGTTTCGAGACCCTTCGTGGTTGGGGACAGTGTGGCACTGTTCCACATCACTGTACCTCAGCTCTTGGGGTTTGTAGGAGCTGGGAGTCATTCCCAACTCGTAACTCTTCCTATCTTGTGTTCTAAGACTATAGTGGCTGCCATAGTACCGTTCGTTCAAACCGACGCTGTGTCGTCAATTCTTTATCAAATCGTGCAATCTAAATTGCTAATTGTAGACGACGTGAAGACGCTCCAGATCCAATTTGAATCAAGTCATTTGCAGCTGTGACCAGAACGCTATCAACGTTTGAAGCCGCTGTGCAGAAATCCGTCTGTGCTCTCTATCTTTCGTTTTAGGCACATTCAAGCCTATTGTGACTATAACAAGTGGTATCAGAGCCCCTTGGAGCAGTTTCGACAATGTCTGGACCTGAGGAAAGGGGTGGCAGAGGTGCTGGTGGCAGTGGAGAAGCTCAAGCTCAAGGCCAACCCCGTGATTCAGCCATGGCGCCCATGCAACCAAGTCTTGGCCCACCTAGGGATGAGCCTAGGGTGTTTGGGCTTGACAAGTTCAACGGTGACAACTTTGCTGAATGGTCCTTCAAGATGGAGAACATCTTTGACCACTATGACCTGCTGGAGGTGATGGAAGGAACGGAGAAGCGCCCCGAGAACGACCCGGAGAAGAGCCCGTGGGTGCGGAAGAGCGCACAAGGCTATCTCTTACTTGGGCAAGCGTTGGGGAGCAGTCAGATCCGTCACATCAAGCCATTCCAGCGTGAACCAGAGAAAGGACCAAAGGCATGGGCTGCTCTCAAGGGTGTACATGCTCCTGCAACAGCGGCGGTAGCGGTGGTGTTGGAACGGCAAATGGCGGCACTACGAATTGAAGAAGACGAAGCGGTTGAAGAAGGGGTGCAGAAATTCTTCGACTTGTTGACGCGGCTTGAGGGAGCTGATTTGAACTACAGTGAGCTCCAAAAGAAGACCAAGTTGCTGGCCTTACTCCCAGAGTCATGGTCCTCACTCATCATCAACCTTAATCGCGACTTGCCCCGCCTCTCGCTTGAAGACGTGAAGCGAGCTATCCTTCAAGAGGATTTCCGCCGCCGTGAGTTGGCGAGTGCGGATGGCGCTGGGGCAGCGAGCATCGGCCGTGGATATGGTCGAGGAAGAGGCAGAGGACGAGGGGGAGGAAGGTTTGGTGGCAGCAACTTCGGCGGAGGCCGCAGGAGTGGCGGTTACGGCAGCGACGACAAGAGCTACGGACGCGGTCGCGGCCGATTCGACGGCGAGTGTCACTATTGCCACAAGAGCGGACACATGTGGCGCGACTGCTACAAACTCCCTGATGGTTGGACCCCTGCTCAAGGCCAAGAGGGTAGAGGAGCAGGAGGAGGGAGAGGACGAGGCCGTGGAGGCCGTGGCGGTCGCGGTGGCGGAGCTGCAAACATGAAGAGCGGAGACAACGACAAGGACCCGAGCGACGATCGATACCCGGGTCTATTCTACTTCGTGTCGACGCAAGTACCGGCTGGTCCAGAGAAGGATGAAGGCTTTGAGGAGCCAGCAGCTGTGGGGAAGGTGACCCTACACCCCCTGGACTATTGGGTGATTGATAGTGGCGCTACCTATAGCATGACACCTCGCCCGGACTTGCTCACCGAACTCGAGCCGTCACCGGTGAAGCATGTCACATCGGCTTTGGGGCAGCGAGCAGAGGTGAAAGGCATGGGCAAGGCCATGTTCAAGGGTGCTGATGGGAAGATGGTGGGCCTCAAGAACGTGCTTTGGGTGCCCAGCCTTGCTGCAAACCTGATTTCCGTGCGGCGGTTGGCAAAGGCCGGCATGGACACGAACTCGAAGGGAGCCAAGACCTACACCGCAAGGCTTGGCGATCGAATTCTTTGGGACCTTCATGAGGACAGGGATGTCTACAACGAGATGTGGCAGATCCCAGTGGTCCCTATGCCTAAGGAGAGGCAAGTGGCAGCAAGCATCAGCACCAAGGATGGAGCGGTCGGTAGCGACGATGGCGCGAACGGTCGCGCTAAGGAGAATGAGCTCAAGAAGAGCAAACCTGGAGGGACCAGCAAGTTCAGTGAACCTAAGGAGAGTGGTGCAGCAACCAAGGAGCAGCAAAAGGGTGAGGAGAACCCAGAGGCAGCAGCGGAGGAGGACTACGGAGAGAGTATGTGGGGCGCTATTGCGAGCGCGGCATTCTCCAATCCAACTTCGGCTACGGGGGAGTGTGATTGGCTCACCTTGCATCGGCGCATGGGGCATGTGGCCCTGCCCATCTTGCAGCAGCTAGTGAAGAATGAGATGGTTGCTGGCATACGTGTGAAGGGGGAGGCCGATGAGGTGCTTGGCTGCCCGACGTGCATTCAAGCCAAGTTCACCCGGTTTCCGTTCCCTAGTTCGGAGGCAACGGCAAAGGCACCGCTTGATGAGGTGGTGATGGACGTGGTGGGCCCCCTGAAGCTTGGAGCTGCTGGAGCTGAGTATTTTCTCACCATTGTCGACGTCTACACCCGCATGACTTGGGTGTACGTGCTGGCCAAGAAGAGCGACGTGGCTGAAACGTTGAAGACGGATTGGTTCCCGATGGTGGAGCGGCAACAAGACCGTCTAGTCAAGTCAATCCGCACCGATCGAGGGGGAGAGTTCCTGAGCAAGGAGTTTGGGTTGTGGCTGAAGAAGAATGGTATTCGGCACTCCCTCACCATGCCATACTCCCCTGCAATGAACGGCATCGCCGAGCGAGCGAACCGCACAATCACGGAGGCGGCACGCGGGTTGCTCATTGAAGCCGGGCTACCCGACTATTTCTGGCCTGATGCAGTGCGGAGCGCGTGTGTGGCCAAGAACAGAGCCTTGACTCATGTGGGAGCAGACAAATGGGTGCCCTATGTGGAGTGGCTAGGAAGGAAGCCAAAGGTGGATATGCTTCGGGTGTTCGGGTGCATGTGCATGGCGCTCGTGCCTAAGCATCTTCGGCACAACAAGCTTGGTGCCAAGGCGGTGTGGGCCGTGCACTTGGGTATGGCTCAAAACAGCAAGGGATGGCTTCTTTGGGACCCATTCACCAAGAAGTTCTTGGTGAGCAGGGACTGCAAGTTCATGGAGAACTTCATGTACAAGGATTGGAAGGCGGAGAATGAGGCGAAGATAGGCGTGCGGTTTGGGGAGGTGAAGAGTTCCGGTTTGGAGCATGTGGAGCTGCCTTTGGAGCTGAGCAGCGGCAGCACAACCACAAGGCAATCCTCCCTTGTGAATGGGGGAGAGGAGGCCAATGATGCAGAGGAAGAAGAGGAGGAGGTGCAGCAAGTGAGCGAGCGTGCACCGTCACTCCCTTCCCGTACTACGAGTGCTCCACGGATTTGAGCCACACCGCAGCAACGCCAAGGCCTTCAAGTCCCTGCAGCTGAGGAGGAAGGAAGGGGGAAGAGGAGAGTTCAACCCCCCTAATAGGCTGACCTATGATGCGCCGGGAAAGCAGGGCAAGACAGCCCTGGCCGGAGCGGCAATGATGGTCGGAGACGACGAGGAGAGTGACTACGAGGAGTGTGCCTTCGCGTTCTTCTCTCCGGTGGAGATGCCGGGAGAACCAGCAACTCTCAAGGAGGCTTTGGAGAGTAGTGATGCTGAGGAGTGGAAGAAGGCCATGGAGAGTGAGCTGAAGAGCATCGAGGAGAATGACACGTTTGAATTGGTGGAGCTACCGGAGGGGCGTACGGCGATAACGTCCAAGTGGCTCTTCAAAATCAAGTCGGATGCCGACGGCAAGATCGAGCGCTACAAGTCTGGTGGTAAGGAGGGCAGAAGGAAGGGGACCTTGAAGCTGGTTGTGAGCCATGGAACTGGAGAGGTTGAATGGGCGATGGTGGAAGGGAGTGAGATGATGGTAACATGCATGCACTGAATGTCCCAGAAGGGAATCGCTGTAGTGAGGAGTGAGCATTTAGTGACCCAAGGGCCATGGCATGATGCAAGGCACATGATTCATGTGCACTGCATGCCGCATAAACTTCCACCTCCGTTTCCATGCCGCCTGCACCATCCTATAGCCAGGAGCATGCCATCCCGCTTGCATGCTCGGCTCTCTTCCATGCTAAAAGGGGTAATGTGGCATGGCACAGCATGGCACGGCAAAGCATGGGACGGCACAGCATGGCAAGACAAGGCACGGCATAGCAAGACAAGGCATGGAATGATAAGGCTGAGGGAGGAGGTGGCTCGGGCTAATGTTCTTCGACTCTGGAACAAGGCATAAAAAACATGACACAAAAGATAGAACAATGCGATGTCAATCACCCAAGACTTACAAATGCCCCCCCCAATTGAGGGTAGAAGGCATGGAGGTGAGCTGATTGTGGGAGAGGTCTCTGCACGCAGTGAGGGCAGGCAGAGGCGAGGGGATGTGGAGGGGAGCGGATGTGGAGGGGAGGGGACGTGGAGGGGAGGGGACGTGGAGGGTAGCGGATGTGGAGGGGAGGGGACGTGCAGGGGAGGGGATGTGGAGGGGAGGGGACGTGCAGGGGAGGGGATGTGGAGGGGAGGGGATGTGGAGGAGATGTGAAGGCATGCACGGTGAGATAGGGGCGAGAATGCTTCTTTGCCAAACTCCAGGGGAGTGTGCGATGTGGTTCAGAGCTCTTGCACTGGAGGAACATGAGTCAGGGCTGTGAAACATACGGCAATGTCATGCCCGAGTGCTGCCTCGGTGGAATATCAGAAGCTTTAGAAAATATGGAAGCACGATAGTACGGCAGAATGCCAATCTTGGGCTGTTGGGAACGCAGCGCAACGCAACGCAACCTAACGATTACATGCTTAATCAGAAGGGCGTTTATGCATTGCTGAGGTAACAATAGGCGGATCTCAAGGGGCGTCTGCTTGAAGTTGCCACACGGAGATGAGAAAGCATGGTGAGAGAGAGACTGCCCAAGAGCCTCCAGCACCTCAATCTATTTGGTGTAGTTGAGACTCAGCATGCAATGCAAGTGTGCCACATAGAGGTGTGTTGCAATCCAAACCACGCCATGCGTGAGCTCATGCCAGGCGTGGCGGGCCTAGGAGACTCACAAGTGAAAGAGTGCGAGGGATGTCAGGAATGGCGCCGGTGAGATTGTTAAAGCCGAGCAACCTGTGTGGGAATCAAAGGGGGAGATGTGATGTGATGTGATGTGATGTGAGGGGCTTACAGGGCACCCAACATAGGTAGCTCGCTGATGCCAACAGGAATGCTCCCTGAGATGTTGTTCCCGTAGAGGTCCCTGGTGGGGCCATGGCGAGGAGGGGAGGGAGGAGGGGGGATGGCCACAGGAACATCTACTCTCACTGAGTAAACCGCTTTTACGGGAAGACGTGTTTTCACAGAAAGAACCGCTTTCACCAGACGAACCGCTTTAACTGGGTGAATTGCAATCACTGGATGAACCGTGATCACGGAATGAACTGCCTGTGCAAGAGCTTTATTTCGAATCCATTATTCAGCTGGATGTAACACCTTGGTGCTCGCAACCTGGTGCTCACAACCTGGTGCTCGCAACCTGGTGCTCACAACCTGGTGCTTTGGCGGTATGTATACCCTTCCTTATTTCTACGACCACTGCATTTCTAATGGGGTTCCCATGGAAGGACGGGGAAGGAGAGGAAGGAAGGGGAGAGAGGAAGGAAGGGGAGAGAGGAGGGAAGGGGAGAGAGGAAGGAAGGGGAGAGAGGAAGTGAGGGGAGAGAGGAAGGGGGGAGAGGATGGGAAGGGGAGAGAGGATGGGAAGGGGAGAGAGGATGGGAAGGGGAGAGAGGATAGGAATTGGAGAGAGGATGGGAAGGGGAGAGGGGATGGGAAGGGGGGAGAGGATGGGAAAGGGAGAGAGGATAGGAATTGGAGAGAGGATGGGAAAGGGAAGGAGGATAGGAATTAGAGAGAGGATGGGAAGGGGAGAGAGGATGGGAAGGAGAGAGAGAGGATGGGAAGGGGAGAGAGGATGGGAAGGAGAGAGAGGATGGGAAGGGGAGAGAGGAAGGAAGAGGAGAGGAGATGGGAAAGGGAGAGAGGAAGGAAGAGGAGAGAGGATGGGAAGGGGAGGCGTACAAGATGTTGAGGGCGGTGAGGGCAGAGATGGTGGAGGGGATAGAGCCAGTGAAGCCATTCAGACCGGACCGCCTGGAGGTGCAAGTTGAGGGGCGAGAGGAGGGGAGGGGCGCATGCATTGGCAGCTGGAGGGCAACAGAGCTGGGCTGAGCGGAGTGGCCCATCAGGCAATGTGCAGATGGACGGGCAGAGGAGAGTTGGAACGAGTGCATCTTGGTGGGAAATATAAGGAACGGATGGCTTTGGATGGTGAGGCGAGCAGCAGCAGGTGTCAAACCAAGCTGGTCTGTTGTGGACATAGCGGATGGCTCACTCACAGCGTTTCCAGCCTTGTGAGAGCAATCCATTTGGTAGGGAAAGGTGCAGAGCGGTGGACGTGTAACTTTCCGGTGACGTCTCTGCAGGGCAGACAAGGGCAGGAAGGTAGAGGAGTCACGGGGCACTCCTGTTGGTGGAGAGGCACGGCAGGGGGAGCATTGCAAGTGGCATTAGCGTACATCTGAATCTCTCTTTCTAGCCAATGTTCCACCCCTCTAGCCATTGAGCAATCCCCCTAACCATCGTTCATCCCCCTAACCACATGTGGACCAATGCAGGGCAGAATGGTGCAGGGCAGCATGGCGCAGGGCAGCACAAGGAACGCCGTCAAACACCCTCGATTCAACGCAGCACAGACCCGTCAGGGTGCGAGCTTGAGCCGGTTTCATGGCATCGCTCCAGCAGCAAGCTACGGAAGCAGAGAGTGAGAGCGCAAGTGGCATGGCAAGGCTGTAGCGAATCACAGGTGGTGCAGGGAGAGAGAGGAGGTGGAACTCGCAGAGCGGACGTGCACTGGCCTCTTGTATCCAAAGTGAAGCACGTGCAAGGTGCAACAGGAAGCGGTGATGATAGTCAGGGCGGGGTGGGGCGAGAGGCTCTTGGTTCCACTCACAAATGAGTGAGCTTAGCGAGTGAAGCAATCCATTGCGGAAAGCGGGTGATGGGAAGGAAACTTAGGTCACTGCAATGCAATACAGGAAAGAAGGAAGAGAAGAGATGGTGAGCGCACCCCCAAGCTCCTGCTGACCCCTGCCGGATCAACCATGAGAATGTCTTAATGGTTCCATAATTAGAGCTATGGGACCTTGAAAGAGAAACGTGCTCGCTCGCTCCTATTTCGACTTACGTAAGCAGGAAAGAAATTCGTTGCTGCTGATTGTGCTTTTTTCATGAGCATACAGTGATGAGATGCAATGCAACGTGCGCAACGAGCAAGCACATACCCAAGGCTAACCAGGAGCAAGTGAAAGATGATGCCACACCAGCACCATGGTTGCGCTTTGGTGATTGCCAACACAAAGCATAAAAAACACGAGATAAAAACTATACCAAGCACTCGCTTAAGGAGGAGGAAGGAAGATACTCGAGAGACTTACAGGTGCTTGAGTGAAGTAAGCGCAGAGAGAGAGGAAGGGAGATCTCCAGCAGTCAGGTTGAGACTCATGAGAGCGCTGAGGAGAAGTGAGGATGGAAGAGAGAGAGGCACGCGTGCAAGAGAGAGGATGAAAGACACTGGTGAAGTGGAAAGACGGTAGTTGGGGAGCAAACAGAATGTGAGCGAGTGAGGAGGTGTGAAAGAAGCACGGGCAAGTGCTGTGTTCAATGTGCAGGTGTGAATGAAGCACGGGCGAGGGGCAGCAGCCATTGTCTCCCGTGTTCTATCCGCGTTAGTCACTCACCCGACTGCCCCTCCGCTATCTGTCTCGGCCCTTGTCACTACTTTCAGTGCCTTTGCCTCTTCCCACTGCCTTGACTACGCCGCTCACCTCGTGAGTGGCACTGCTCGTTCTCCGTCCTCTAAGGGTGCTCCTGACTTTCCCTTGGAGGTCCTAGATGACAGGCAGTTTGAGCTTGGTTTCCTTGCGGCCGCTGTTCCTCATCTCTGCGCCATACTACTTGCCCCTGAGGGGGATCCCGACGCGCTTGACATCCCGATCCCTCGCACTCACGCTGAGGCGGTTTTGGGACCTTGGGCTTCGTATTGGATAGCAGCTGAAGAGGCAGAGATGGCATCTTTTAGGTCCACAGGCACCTACGTCGATGCCGTCCCACCACCTGGGACGAACGTTGTCAGTGGCACGTGCCTCTACAAGGTGAAGCGGCCGCCTGGAACACCACCGGTGTTCAAGGTGGGCTATGTGGCGAGAGCCTTCAGTCAGCGAGAGGGGGTGGACTTCTTTCAGACCTTCGCTCCAACCCCGAAGATGACCACTCTTCAGGTGTTGCTGGATATTGTAGCACAGCGCGACTACAAGTTGCATTCCTTGGACTTCTCCACCGCGTTCCTTAAAGGGAGCCTGCACGAGCATATCTGGCTGCCTCGTCCGCCTGGCTTCACTCTCACTTTCCCTCCCGGGACCCAGTGGCAGCTGCGTCGACCGGTCTACAGCCTGCGCCGGGCTCCCCGCGTGGCACGACACGCTACGTACGACTCTTGCAGTGCTTAACTTCTTGCAAGCGGCACCTGTCGCTTTTCGTCCGCCGTGGCTCGACCCCGTTCTTTGTTCTGGTCTACGTTGACGACCTAGTCTTCGCCACTCCCGGTCGACGCGCATTGGCCTCTGTGAAGGAGGAACTGCAGAGGAGACACACTTGCACTGACTTTGGTGAGCTGCAGCGCTACCTTGGCCTGCAGATCACCAGGGACAGGGCAGCTCGCACCATTACGCTGACGCAGTCGCATATGGTCGAGCAGATCCTCACGCGGTTTTGCTTCCCGTTCTCCAAGGTACAGCCCACCCCTCTTGCTGTGGATCATGGGCTCACGGCTCCACCTTCGGACGAGCCATTTGAGCCCAGCGGTCCATATCCTGAGCTGGTGGGTTGTCTCATGTACCCGATGACCTGTACTCGTCCTGACCTAGCTTACCCTCTTAGCGTCCTTGCGTGCTTTGTTGCGCCTGGGAGACACCGACCTTCCCACTGGTACGCTGCTAAGAGGGTGGCGAAGTATGTGGCGAGTACATCAGGCATGGGACTTGTCCTTGGAGGGAAGCAGCCAGTTACGCTTACAGGTTTCTCGGACTCGCCTTGGGCCGACGACGCTGAGTCGCTGCGGTCTCCATAGGGTTACTACTTCAGCCTTGGGACCGGATCTGTTTCGTGGAGGTTGACTCGAGCGTCGTCCGTCTCTAGTTCCAGCTGTGAGGCAGAAGTGTACGCTGCGGCCATGCTGCCTAGAAGCTTCGCTAGCTGTCTTTCGTCCTCACCGACCTTGGTGAGTGGCCTCGTTCTCCCCCAGTCTTGTTCGCCGACAACAGTCTGCTATCCTGTTGTGCGAGGAGCCCCGACTGGTTGGGAAGGCGAAGCACATCCAGCTTCGTTACTTCCTTCTACGAGAGTTGCAGCAGCGTGGCCAGGCACTCGTGCGACGTGTGGTCTCCGAGGCCAACACTGCAGATGTCTTCACCAAAGAGTTGCCGCCTTGTGAACACCAGCGTTTTTGCACCCAGCTTGGCCTTGTGTCTACAGGCCCTCACTTGGTTGCGTAGAGATGCTTTATCTTGTACTCTTGCATCTGACTATATCTCCTATATATGTGGCTTCACCAGCAGGGCTACGCCGATAAGCTGCGTAGGCGGTTCCTCGACGAGGAGCAGACCGGGCGAACCCCGAAGACGCCGGTCTCCGTCGACGCCTACGCCTAGCTGACGTTCGACGAGGAGGAGGCACACGAGCGCCAGGAGGAGGAGTACCGGCAGAAGGTCGGCTCGCTGCAGTTCGCGGCGACGACGATGAGGCCGGACATCGCCTTCGCCTGCAGCAAGATGGGGAGCGGCCTCACGGTGAGGAGCGACCAGCATTGGCGCGAGGTCGACCGCTGCCTCGCCTACCTCGCCAACACGCGCGACACTGCCCTGGAGTTCGGCGATGGACCTGAGTCGCTGAAGCTGGTCGGCTACGTGGACGCCGACGACGCCGGCGACAAGCAGAACCGGAGGATCACGGGCGGCTACGTGTACGTCTACGGAGGGGCCACGATCTCCTGGTCGAGCCAGCACATCAAGTGCGCAACGCTGTCGTCGACCGAGTCGGATTATCTGGCGGCCACAGAAGCCGGCAAGGAGGGATGCCGCCTTCGCTTCCTTCTTGCAGAGTTCCGACAGCTGGACGCCGGGACGCCGACCGTCCTTCGGGTGGACAACAAGTCGGCCATCACGGTCGCCGAGGGCATGGGGTTGACGGGCAGCCTCAAGCACATGGAGCGGCGACAAGCCTGGCTGCAGCACATGGTGAAGCGCGGGAAGTTCACGCTGAAGTACATCCCGACCACTGAGCAGCCGACTGACTTCCTGACGAAGGCACTGCACTATCCAGCCTTCAACCGGTGCTCCGTCGCAATCGGCCAAGTGCGCTTGGCCGACGTGGGCGACGGCGACAACGACGTGCAGTAGTAGGTGCCATGCCCTCTTCTGCATGGCTGGTGCGGTGACTGGCGTGCTGTGTGTTGTGTGCACGCCGACGAGCTATTCTCCGAGTGTTTCTGCCGTGTGCGCTGGGGGCCGAAGCGTGAACACGGCAGGGGAGTGTCAACGGGAGTTGTTGTTGGCCCCGTCCTCACTTGGGCGGAGCCGACTACGTAGTCGGGTGCACGGGAAGTGCAGCCGAGCAGCTGCAGTGGACGACGCCGAGTTCGGCGTGCAGGTCGATGGGTTGGCCGACCTGCACACTGCCACTGCTCACGCCGCCGACGACGGGGAGCCGGCGGCCGACCTGACCGGGTGGTCGACGAAGGGGGCACCGACGTCGACCTGGACAGGGGAGCTGGAGGGCGCCGAGTTCGAGTGGTCGACCTGGCGAGGTCGACCTCGGGGGTGTCGACCTGGTGACGCCGACTTGGGGAAGCCGACTTGGGTGGTCGGCTGACGGCTGTGCTGGTCGACCAGGGGCTGGTCGACCAAGTGCCTGGTCCACCTGGAGCTGGTCGACCGGTGGTGGTCGTCGACCTGGGTGGTCGACGGGCACAAAGAGGAGCTGGTCGACGTGGGGGTTGCTCGGTCGACCAAGTTACCGGGGTGACGGGTTTCTGCGGAGGCACGCGACGGTCGCCCAGGTGGTTTTAAATGAGACCGACCTCGGTGGTGGTATCCCGAGGTCGACGTGGCTGGTCAGGTGCAGTCGTCAGCATGAGGTTGATCGCGTGTGTGCACTGCAGGTGACAAGGCACTGCACGCCAATCATATGCGAGCACCTGCAAAGCAGGTGCGCTGCTGTACTGTGGGAGCAACGTTGGCACGTCGTCCACTTGCAACGTTGACACGCCGTCTACTTGCAGCGTTGGCGGGCCGCGACTGTGCACTACTGGAACGCGGTCGACCAAGTCGTGCTGGAACGCGGTCGACCGTGCAGCGCTGGCAATCTCTTTGTAACCATTGTTGTCAACTTTCCTTAGTGAAACTCTTGCCAAAATTCTCCCGTGAACTAGCAAGTAGTGTGGGCACAAGGAAACGACTAAGGAACGAACGCAGAGGTCACTCAAGCCCCGTGCCTAACCCGTAGTCTAGCTCCCGTTGATTTAGTCATCTCCGCAGCTGTGACACGTATGCGCAGAACAAGCCAAGCACGCAGAAGCCTGGTGGTTTGCTTCAACTACTCGGGATTCCCGATGAGCCTTGGGAGAGTGTATCGATGATTTTATCACCGATCTCCCCAAGACATGAGATGGTCATACGGCGATACTAGTGTTTGTTGATCTCTTGACCAAAATGGTGCACTTCGTGCCCACGACATTTGTGGCAAGAATAATGAGCAAGGCCCCCTTGAAATCTGCATTCGGGGTGGCCTGCCGTTACTAGATCAACATATAGGAGAGGACGAGATTCTGGCACGGTTTGCGCAGGAGCACCACCACTGGTGCACCACCACTGTGTGCTATCCTCCGATGCACTGCAGTTGGACTCGTTCATTCCTCCCCATTCGCTTGCACATCATAAGGAGTTCCTACTGCCTTTGCACTAATGCTGTTCAGGGAATAATGCCTCGCTCGTGCCACTGGCACATCCGCCCGTAGGCCTGTGTTGCCTTTGCATTGCACTAGTTGCTGCTGCCTTTGCATATGTTTGTTTAGTGGTCCACCAATCACTGGTGCATCAGGCCTGGCAAAACTTGGCTCTGCTGCCATTGCACTTCGGTTGTTTGTCAACCATCCCTGTCTGGGGTTTTCGGGCTTGCATGCCTCGTTGATGCCGCATGCACGGCAGCAGATGGTGCTGCTGCCTTGGCATAACAATTGTCATTCATATCTGTAGTTTTCGGGTTTCCATGCCTCGCTCATACCGCATGCACAGTAGCACATGGTGCTGCTGCCTTTGCAATCCAGTGTTTTAACATCCCTTTCTGGTTTTCAGGAATCTGCAGGACATGTTGCTTCAGCCGTTGCCCTGAGTTTGTCGCTGGTTTTGTATTCATCCCGGCTTTCTCAGGCACACAACAGCTCAACGCACCGCTGCCTTGGCAGGTCAGTTGTCATCGCCCCCTCCCTCGTTTTACAACAATGCTCTATTCTCGGCTCTGCCGCCTACGCACTACTGTTGTATATATCCATCCATATCTGGTGCCTCATGAGCAGCAGCACATGGTGCTGCTGCCTTATCACTTCATAAGTCATTCATCCCTCCTTAGATTTTCGGACACAGCTAGTATTGGTGCTGCTGCCTTTGCATTGTGTCTGATATCATTCATCCAACTCTGCCGCCTTAGGCATACTCATGCTTGGTTCTGGTACCTTTGCACAGCAATTGTAAGGCATTCAGCCCTCTTTGTGGCCTTGGGCAACCTTTGCACAACACATCCGTTCCTTCCTGTTGTTTCATGCACATCAACGCATGTGGCATCTGTTGGGCAGCTAGATGCATCAATAAATATGCCCTCCTGCCCATCATTCCAGCAGGCCTAGCCGCAGGTAAGTTGAAAAATGGTTTTGGGACAACACATACTAAATGCAGAGCTCATTCCAGTGAATAGGAGTAGGGAAAGGATGGGGGGAAGCAGGGAAGGGGACATGGGGAAGCAGGGAAGGTGATGGATGGAAGCAGGGAAGGGGATGGGGGGAAGCAGGGAAGGGGACGGATGGAAGCAGGGGAGGGGATGGGGGGAAGCAGGGAAGGGGATTGGTGGAAGCAGGGAAGGGGATGGGGGGAAGCAGGGAAGGGGACGGGTGGAAGCAGGGAAGGGGATGGGGGGTAGCAGGGAAGGGGACGGGTGGAAGCAGGGAAGGGGATGGGGGGAAGCAGGGAATGGGATGGGGGGAAGCAGGGAAGGGGATGGGGGGAAGCAGGGGACGGGATGGGGGAAAGCAGGGCAGGGGATGGGGGGAAGCAGGGAAGGGGATGGGGGTAAGCAGGGAAGGAGATGGGGGGAAGCAGGGAAGGGGATGAGGGGAAGCAGGGGTGGGGATGGGTTGAAGCAGGGAAGGGGATGGGGGGAAGCAGGGAAGGGGATGGGGGGAAGCAGGGCAGGGGATGGGGGGAAGCAGGACGATTGCCTGGGCTCGCGAGAGTTTCTTCAAAGCAAGTAGGGTAACTCTGTTTTTGGCGATTTCAAGTTCAAGAATCTTGAACTTGAAAATTACCATGCTATACTCGGGCTTTAAAGGTAGCCACAAAATCCAGACTTTCACTAGCATATTTAGAATGGATTATCGCAATCTCTCAACACATACGGTATATTTGAAGATAACCTCGAGTATGCTATTCCAGACTTGGGCTCTCATTACCCCAGGTCCACCCACCCACAACAATTGATACGAAACCACTATGTGAAAACTCTACGCTTCACATCCCGAACACCAGGAGCAAGACGACGGCAAGAGCAGCAGCAGTAGAGTGGTTAATGGCAGAAGCAATGAGCGTGCGAGGGCCAAATGCCGATCGTGCCTGCGACACTGGAATGTGGGCACAGACATAGATTGAAATGTTTAATCAGATTACGAAAAGCACACCTATTCCACCATCCAGCCGTTGTTGGAAAGTTTGATTGGAGCCGGTGTGGCATCGTTCTTATGCGTGCGTGTGTGTGTGGGCAGCCATGGCAGCATGGAGACTTACAAGCAAGGGGGGTGAAGGAGGAGCAGAAGGAGAAGCAGAGGTGGCAGAAGCCGGTGGTATTGCTCTGATTCACCAGGCACTTGCTTTGTTGCCCGACACGTTCCAGGGGGTGAGAGTTGGAGAAAAGCTGATTGGAGAATTGAGGAAACAATTCACACTCATGGCCAGATATTTAACTTAAAACTAGTGTGCGACAAGCAAATACGTGCATTCGGTCCAATACCAAATACCATGTAATATGGAGTTAATCGGTTACTGTCTTACGTACAAAAATGAATCTAGAACTCTAACGTGAGAGGCAGGATGGGCGTGTGAAGCATGTGGCACAGAGGAGTGGAAGGAGAAAAGAGGCCAGCCAACTCAACACCACTATGCTGCCATTGAGTTCGAATCCAGGGGGGAAAAATAGGAGGATTCCCGATGCAAGTTAAAGTAAGACCCTGGCAAGAAATTTGGAAGCTGTAAGAGCAGCGCGGGGAGAGTAGTCAACTTTAGGCTTGTGTTGGATGGGGAATGGTTGTGCAACTCACAGGTATGTTAGATCCCCAAGTCCGCCCAGGCTAGCAGGTATGACGCCACTCAGATTGTTGCCTCGAAGCCCCCTGCCGTGCCATGCCATGCCATGCCATGCCACACGTGCATGCCAGCGAGCAAAGTACATCAGCTGTTTGCAATGATGTCCGCGGTGATCCTTGGTGCGATTTCACATGGTGGAATGCAGCAAAAAGTGTTGTCAGAGTTGCTGGGCCCAGACAAGGTGTGCACAACCTGTTTCTCAAGGTAGCGTTTATGCCTCCTCAAACTACCCTAACTCACAACAACACTGCTTCCTTATTCTCAAAGAGAGATGGAGCAAGGCTCACAGTCGGGACAACAATACAAGGCTGGAGATGGAGTCAGGAAGCGAGCCACTGAGCTGGTTGTCGCTGACGTCGCTGGGAATTTAGTGGGGCATGGTGGTGGTGGGCGGTTGTGGGAAGGGTAAAGAGGGGACATGGTGGATGGGCGCAGGCGAGGGGAATGAGGATACAAGGAAAAGTGTAACTCTGCTAAAGATTCTAGTGTCTTCGAGACACTCAGAGCTATGCGATGCTAGGTATGTAGCTGCTAGTTCAGATGTGGTTCGTGGCTGCTAGATCAGATCTGTCTTTGTGAAAATGGGGGAGTAAACAAGAAGGAAATCCAAAGGGCAAATAAAGGGCTGACATAGATGGACATCGTTTGAGAGGGATAAGTGTTATAGTCTGCAGTCCACTTAGGGGTCGCGGATGCCCATGAAACCGCCTAAGCAGAATCTGACGTCTTCAAACCGCCTCTGTTCAAAACGCCGTCATGATCAGCTCCGAGAACATACGAGGCTGAAACTTGGACAGCGGTTAGCCTTAGGTGTCTGCTTTCCAACGGTATATTACTTGCTATTATCAGAGATGTGTGCACTACGCAGTGAACGAAAACGTAAGCTCGGCTGAAAAAACGTGTATTCTCATTGATGCAAGGAAGAGGTGAGTACAACATTGCCTAGGGGACTCATAAGGGGTTGGGTCATCCTGGGAACTCAGAGAAGGTTGAGTCCTAGGGGAGAAAGGCTAGAGAAGAATGGGAAACGTCCTAGCTAGGTCAGCAAAGCCAACCACACTTGGATGTTCAGAGCTGTACTCAAGGCTACCAATAGTGAGTCAAGCCAACATGAGTCAGCTTGTCTTCCCACTTGCACCCTCTTGCAAGTTGCTTCCAGGAAGACCACACTTCTCAAAAGGAGGGTTATAGAGTCCCACTTGACCACCTGTACTTCTTGTCTCATTCTCTGTCCCTGCACCATTGGCATGACAACAATGAAAGGGTGGCAAGGGAAATGCTGTCAACAGTGCACCATGACTACGGAACAGTGAATTTCGGCAGCTGTCACGCAATGCTCAGATGTTGGATCGTTCTGAAACTTGGTGACCACTTGCACAGCGGGGCAAAGGACTGCTAGACCGAAGTTCAGACCAATCAGATCTCTGTAGACGAGTCAGCAGCCGAAATGGTGAACTCGGGTGTTACCAAAAAGGAGTAACACACACTTCCGGGATGCCATAAGTCTTGAAACATAAAATGTTGTCATGCCTTGGTAACTGCTTCAAAAACTCTGAAACTTTGAGGGTTTGAAGAAAACGTGTTGAACAACCTCCCCACAAAATTCCAGAAGCTGAGCAGGCTTGTAGGCCGAATGGGAGTGCGATGACCGTGCCACTGTAATGTGTTGGCACAACAAACTCCCCCTCATCGTGCTCTCATTCATCCCTTAGCTGCTCCCTGAAGCTGCCTCCCCTAGTTGAAGGACATGCCACACAAGGTGGCGCAGGTCCAATGCTGATGCTCTGCAAGCCGCTTCGTCAAAAAATCTGCAGGTTGCTTGGTAGTGTTGATGTAGTGCAAGGAGACCGTGCCCTTCTTCACCTCCTTCCTCACCCAATGCCATTTGATATGCATGTGCTTGTTCAGCCCATGGAGCACAGCATTGCGAGCCATTGCAATTGCTCCTTGGCTGTCACAAAACACAGGTGTAGGACCCTCTTTCTCCTGCCCCAACTCCTCAAGCAACCTCCTCATCCAAACCACCTCCTTCACCCCATGAAACAACGCCATGTACTCGCTTTCCGTTGATGAGTGAGCTATCTCCCCTTGCTTCTTAGACTTCCAGCTCACTGGACTCCCTCCAACACAGCATACATAGCCACCGTGGGATGTTGCATCACTGATGTCACTTGCCCAGGTAGCATCGGTGAAGCACGAGAGGTACAAGTGTCCACGCCTTGCAGGTGCACCGGTCTTCGTGCTCACCTCCTCCACTCCCTTTTGCTTCAGCTGCCCATGCACTGAATATTGCAGCCCCACCCTTGAGGTTGCCATGCAGTACCTCACCAGCCTCTCTGATGCATCAAGGTGCTCTTGAAGGGGCCTAGACACCACACGAGCCAGCTGCGAAACCGCGAATGAAATATCGGGGCGAGTGTTGACCGAAGCATACATCAAGCTCCCCACCATTGACTGGAACCGACGCTGCAACTCGGGCTCCAACACCTCACCCTCCTCTTCATCAAGGTGTAGCTGAAATCCTGAGGGTAGTGGAGTCTTTACACTCCTCCCTTCCTCCAGCCCATACCTCTCCCCCATGGCTGCAAGGTACTTGTGTTGGTGAAGCCTCAACCATCCCTTCACCTCGTCCCGCTCCACGTGAAGACCAAGGTAATACCCCACTGGTCCAAGGGCCTTGCATTGAAAGGTCTCCTTCAGCTTCCCTTGCACCTCCTTGATCCTCTCCAGGGATGGAGAGAAGAGGAGAATGTCATCGACGTAGACAAGGAGAAACACTTTCTCCTCATCCCCCTCGGTTATGAAGAGACTCTCGTCGCACCCGCTAACTTTGAAGCCAAGAGCCTCCAACGCCTCCACCAGCCTTGCATACCAGCACCTTGGAGCTTGTTTGAGGCCATAGATGGCCTTGTTGAGCCTGCAAACACGTCCGCTCCCATCGTCGTACCCCTCTGGCTGCTTCATGTAAATCTCCTCATCTACCACGCCATAGAGGAAAGCCGTCTTCACATCCATTTGCTCCACCTTCCAACCACAAACGGCAGCTGCTGCCAGCAACACCCGGAGCGTAGGAGCCTTGGCAACAGGAGCAAACACCTCCTTAAAGTCAACCCCCTCCCTCTGCTGGAAACCCTTGATCACAAGTCTTGTTTTGCGCCTCTCCAACTTCCCCTCCGCATCGGTCTTCACACGTAATATCCACGTGCAATCCAATGCCTTTCTTCCCGGGGGCAGATTGGTGAGGGTCCACGTTCCATTCTCCATGAGGCTCTTAAACTCATCCTCCCTTGAAGCCAACCAAGCCTCTCGATCATCTCCAGCAAGTGCTTCCTCCATCGAAGCCGGTTCATGAGGTAAGTTGACACCGAAGCAACAAATCTGCTCCATCTCTCCCTCGGCTCCCTTCTCCTCATCATCTTCCTCCTCCTGGACCAGCAATGCCTTGGGACCCCCAAGCCTTTCATACTTGAGGAAATCCCTTGGGTGAGCAGCTCTCTTGGGCCTCTCCTTGGCTGCACTCTCCTTAGCTCCACCACGGACAGCACCACGCTTCCCTTGGGTTGTCCGCCTTGGTGGAAGAGTAGGGGATGGTGTAGGCTGCTGCACCTCCTCCTCGGCATCACCTCTCTCAGCTACAGGGGCCTTCTCTTGCTGCAACACTCCCTCCACCTCTACTGCCTCCCCTTCAGCACCTCCCAAGTCATGTGACACCTCCGTTACCTCTGAAGACGAAGACAACTCGATGGGAATGAAGAGTGGGTCATTCGTTCCCACCTCTATTCCGAGCGGAATGGTGACCTTGCTCCTCCCTCGCTCCAACCACTCCTTGAACATGAGCCCCTCCATGAACTTGGCATCTCTGGTGGTGAAGATGGTGTTGGCTATTGGGTCCCACATGAGCCACCCCTTGCTCCCTTGTGCAAGTCCCAAATGAACAGCCCACACCGCCGCCGCTTGAAGCTTGTCACGCTTTTCCTTAGGGACGTGCACGAGTCCCATGCACCCAAAGACTCGAAGCATATCCACCAGAGGCTTCTTGCCCCTCCATTTCTCCATAGGGACCCAATGCTGCCCTCCCACATGAGTCAATACTCGGTTCTTGATGACGGTGGCATGGCGAATAGCGAGGGGCCAGAACCGTAAGGGTAGACCCGAGTCTACCAACATCGTTCTCCCGCCCTCCAAGATGGTCCGGTTCGCTCTCTCTGCCACGCCATTGGATTGAGGGGTGTAGGCCGTGGTGAGCTGCTGCTTGATGCCATGCCGCTTCAGCCAGCTCCGGAACTCCGCTCCCAAGAACTCCCCACCACGGTCACTACGTATCGCCTTCACCCGCTTGCCGCTCTCTCGCTCCACCATGGGCAGCCACTC